ATTTGACACTGTTTCTTTTCTTTTCTTTTTTTTGTTCTTTTCTTAAAAGTTAATCTGTGACTCTAAACCTTAGTTGGAAATATAAAGATTAATGCGACGTGGTGATTAGAGTTCGAAGTCAAAATGTTCAGGTTTGAAACAACGGTACTATAAATGTTGCATTTTGAGTTTCAATGACACTTACAAAATCTCCTTTCCAAACGGTTTAGGTATACGTTCCCGAATTATTATCACTGGCCACTTTTAAAGTCTCTGTTACAGTGTGACCATAGAGGAGTAACGTGAAAGTTTAGGGACGATATCACTAACTCCTTTTGACAAAGAGATATCTTTGATTGTTACACCCTAGACAAACGTCGTGACAAATTAACACTGTTACCATTTTGGTCACTGACAACAACTATAGGTACTGCATAGTTCTAGAAACCCTTTTCGCTTAAAGTGGCTCACCAAATACGCTGATTATTTCGTTTGGTGGTAAACTGTGTTACGAAAGGTATATGGAAGAAGTGAAGTCTCTCACAACGGTAATCAAAAATTTAACTAAATTATTTCATCTTATTTAGCACAGTAAGATATCACAATCACCACACAAATTTTATTACATTTTCTGCTTTCACTCAATGTATTACTAAACCTTGTACGAGTATAATGGATAATTACATGCACAGTGACTATATTTAATAATTAACATTTAATTCCTTTAATCCATAGTGGAAGCTCATCTTTAGACATTCTAAGTTCTGATTTACAAAGTAGAGAATTTCTAAATGAGTATGAGAAAGAAATGTGCTTCGAATTTGTAAATTCCGTAACGGGCTTCTCACAGTGTGACCTAGAATATTTCCTTATTGTTCCTATGTCTCTAAACTGTTTACTTAGATTGTGGTTGTGAAATGTAGATTGTCACTTTAACATTGCAAAATTGACTCCTAATCCGCTGTAAATGCTGTTATCTCATTTTTGCGGTGTTTTTTAATTACTTCTATTTCTAACTGAACTGCAGAAGCTGGAGAATCTGCACAGTACCTACTCCAGAAATCTCTATTGTGACCAGAAATCAGTCCAGAGTAAACATGAAAAAACGAAAAAAAAAATTTCTTCATATTCTTTGGAGGAAAACGGTTTTTTCTTGATCGGAACCCAACAGAAATCAGAAGCAGAGTAGTGCTTCATATCCAAAAAGTTGTTTAAATCGTTTGAAAAGAAACAGGGAAACCTATTTAGAAAAAATTAATGACGGAATACTATACAGGCTGATTCAAATTCGAGGGCCACCATGGGGATCTCCGAAACTGTAGGACATAGGTAGCTAGTTTGAATTTGGCAAAATTGAGAATTTTGATGTCTAACAAAATGCCGTTTTCAAACTAAAAAATTCCGACTACTTTCGAAGATATCCGGGAAACAACGAAATTTTGCAAAATCTTTTTTATTTTTTTTTTAATATATTTCAAATTAAACACACATTATTATGGCAACTTTTTTCCCTCTATAAGATGCTAGTTTTGAATTTTAAGTCCAGTTAACCATCATCAACTTTGTTTTTTCGTATGGAAGTGTCGCTTGGTGGAGCATTTTTTCTCATTTCAAAACTGTAAACATCACTATTTTTTAAATATTGTTAAAATATTTTCTTTTTTGCCTGGCAAATTTTGTGTTGTGTAGCGTATGTTCGTAGTTTCTTGCTTTTTTACGAATTAAGAGCGCTATTTGTTATTAAAAATAATGATATTTACATTTTTGAAATTTAAAAAAATGCACTATCAAACGACACAAGAAGTAAAAATGACTTGCATAAGAAAAAACCAAGTTGATCATGGTTAACCGGAGACGAAACATCAGACTTAAAATTTAAAACTAGCATCTTGTAGAGTGAAAAGTGGCCATAATAATGTGTCATTTATTTTGAAATATATTTTTTTAAAAATAAAAACGATTTTGCAAAATTTCGTTTTTTCAGAATATCCCCGAAAGCAGTCGGCAACCCTCGAATATGAAGCAGCCGTATGGGGTTATTCAAGGGGACTACGAAATATGCATAATCGAATTTTTATCCCAATAAGGATAATGGCAAAATCCTTTCGTTGTTATTTGGAACGGTCAGGGAGAAGATCTCACGACAATATCAAATCGTACACGAAATATTAAAGTGGCACCATGAAAAGGTTTCTTTCTCCAATAGCTAAATATCCACAATATCCATATTCTTTATCACGTGCAATTAAAAACAATACGGACAGAATTACCGGAAATTGCTAGTAGAATGGAATGCTTATAATTATGTTTTATTAAGAGTTGTGATTTAGGTAATGACTTGCACTTCTTTTGATTTACAAAGTATAGCTACGAAAACAATACTCTGCATAAATTGTTTAATGGAATCGCGATCCACAATCATTGACAATATGGCCATAATAGATAATAAACCCAATTTTGAATCCTAAAACTAAGGGATGAATTATCTGGTTACATAAAATGCTATTTCCGCCAAAAAAGTAAAAGCAGCTTAATCCTGGCCAAGGGATATTAAAACTGTAACGTTAAAGAATGAAAGTAATGGAAACTTGAACATGGAAGCCCACTATCAATGAGGCATTAAAATAAAGTAATGCGCCATGTACTACGCGAAGGAAATTTCGTAGCGTTCTTATGAACGTGATTAAAGAAATGTTAACTCCAATAGAGAACGGTTCACATCGGAATATCAGGGCCCTATTTAAAAAAATCAAGTTGATAGTTCCGCAAAGACGAAACGTCGGAGAGCATTAAACGATGCTATGGTGAAGATCATTGGTTTTGCTCTAGGTCAAATTAATATTAACGCCAAAAAAGATGGTTCGTAAAATCCGATTTTTCAAAATATTTCAAAAACTTCGGAAGATTTAAAACAATTGAAAATGTATTAATGTCAACAATTCAACTAAAATAAGTTGATGCTATTTTGCTTATTTTAAATGGAGCACCCTATGCATAATGTCCTATACCTAAATTTAGCAGTTTTTTTCCATATTTTAATTTCTATGTGAAAAATGACGTTTGCAGCCCAAATTATCATGATTGCCAACTTTTTTCTATACTAGAGTTGCTTTTATTTAATTGTGACTAGAGTTTTCTTTTCAAAGCGGTTCCGGTTTAGTAGACTGGGTTAATATTTTAATATTTTTATATTGCAAGGTTAAAGGCACTCCGCTTCGCGTCGTGCCCTTAAACTCGTTGCGCGTGCTTTAAAGACTTGATTATACACTTGTATCTTAATATACTATTATGATCAGCTTCTTTGGACACGCGCGCATCAATTATTATTAGGAAAAATCTGACAATTTTTATCATTGCATGCGAAATGGCGAGTTTCATTGATTGTTGTCTCAGTTTCCCTCCGTGTTTCTGTCTAGAAACAAGCCATCTAGGTACGTGTTGGAACAGATCCGCAAATGTGGCTTTTATCCTTACTATTCTGAAATAAAATATTTTAACGCAATGAGCGCATGGGGTGGAATAATTCAAGTCTGAGCACCTTGAATTGTGCTCCTTGAGCAGTGGCCGTGCACCTATAATTACATTGCACAATAATTTTTTTTTAATTCCGTTAAGTGCCAAAGGAAATGAAGATTTATTCAATTAGCTATCGAATCAAACGCGTATCTAAAAACACAGTTTTAACTGTAACAGGCACTAAAAACCATTAACTTCATGACTGCATAATCAAGCTTCATGGTAAATACACAAGACAAGATCCCTTACATCGACTGCGACAGGTAAAAAAGGTGAACGTACTTGAGGAATTTTGGCGTTTTTCGCCCACGATCTGACAAATATTCGTAGAAGAAAATGAATGATTGACTTATAAAACTAATCGTCTTTAGTAGGTACCTACCTATAGTTTGGTATATGGGTGATTAAGAAAGCTAGGTTGTGGAGAACTATTACGTAAGCTTCTCTGTATTAATATGCAGCGCATAATTTACATTGTTTTATAACAATTATAATAGTCGGGATTCCATATATGAACTGATTACGGAAATATGATACTATACAGGAAGTGTATCAAAGGAAAAAGTTCGTTGCACCATATTATATGTCTTTTGTTTTGTTAATCACATAGGAAACTATATTTTTACTTAGGGTACCCATACATTAAAATAACAATCCAGATTGAAGGTCCACTCATACATAAGGTTTTCACCTGAAGCGAGAAAGAACTAGATTACTAAATTACTTTTACTTTTAGTACTTGGGCAAGGTTGTTTGAATTTCTCATAGCACGTGCTTTGTAGGTTACATTTACGACATAATGAAAGTTTTTCTAGTACACATTACGATGGTGTTATTAATATTGATTATTAGTCGTTTACGCAATTCGGTTACATTAATTTGGCTAATTTGCAAACGGCGCAGTAACTAAAAATAGTGGCTCGGGTTACGAAATCTTCGCTGAACCTAGCCAAAGATCTTTACATATGGCAAATAAACCTTGAGGATCCTTATTAAAATTTTACACACCATTGTTGCAGTTAATTACAATCTAATTAACACACTTCGCACAACTTTCTTCTTATTTGTAAAGTATCGGTTGGTTTTTTCAAAATTGATTCATTTTTAGAAAAAGCTCTGTGTAGAAAGTATAACACTTCCTATTACAAGTTTCGTGGAAAAGTAAAAATGTCTGCAAAAGTTGCTATCCTTGTTGTAAAGAATGGGACTGTTGGTATCTTTCCCTTGAACCGAATCGTGTCCTCTCTCAACATTTTGAAACTGAAGATGCTCAGAATGCACGACTTATTCTGCAATCTGAAGCATTTCGACACGTCTTAAGATCCGTTTGCATTTCTTGGACTTACACATTTCGTTTAAGGTTAAAGTTTCCCAACCGCAAATAGCTTGAAATTGTCCTTTGATGCGATCTGGAAGCATTCAGAACGTGACTAGTGTCGGTTAAGCTATATGTTTTTTGTTGTTATTTGGTTGCGAGGTAATTACAATTGCTATTGTTGTTACAGGAAGATGAAAAGGCCACCGGGACTTTGGATACTGTTATCTGCAGGTAAGATTTGCATTTTTTTAATTTGCTACTAATTTTAATGCGTAGGTATGCGCCTAGACACGTCGAAAAGTGAAAGTTATTGTTTAATTAGTCATAATTGGTGTGCCACGAAATTGTGTAATCGTATCAGGGCAAACCCATGGAACTGTTAGCGAAGAATACAAACTTGATTCCTAATATCTTTACCAGTCCAACTGCTTAATGCGGAAGTGAAACAGCGTTACATATATTTAATGAACATTAATGAATTGATCCTGGAAGGCCATAAAATGAACGGCCTTCGACCAATTAAAAATTAAGGTAATCGGATTTTATAGTATAGGTACCGTTCAAACTGCCCAAATAGTGTCCGTCATCAACCAAAACAACGTTGGGCAGATATAGTTGTTCAATTCAAAAGCAGTCCATATGACTCCCCATAGCTAATATAGAATGGGCTGATGTATGTGTTCTGTCAAATTGGACCTGCACTTTATCGGAGAATTATCCTAGAGAGAGACTATTAGTTTATGCTGCATTTATTATTTATTTATTATCCCTAAAAAATAATAAAGTGTAACGTAACTGCGCCAGACTCAGATTTAAAATATCCCGTACTTTAGTTAAGGCATTCATCTCCCAACCATCAGCGAGTTCCACTTTAAAATTATAATATGAACCCCCTATCAAAAAAAGTGACATAATTTTAAAGGATATTTTGATTGTATCAATTGTATTGTATCAATTGCTCAAAATGCTTTCCACTAGTACGCGCATAATATTACTGTAATATCTGTGCTGACATTCTTCTTCACAGACAAAAGTATCTCTTGTAATTTGCCTACAATTACTCAGTTATTCTGTAACTGGTTCACATATCACTCACGAAACTGGAGCGCTTATGTCCCTACTTTTCCGTGCGTCTGACCATCTGTCCGTTGTCCCGCGCTATAGCTCACTCTCTATATCTCGTCAAAAGTAAAGGAGATTTAAAAACTCACTTTAATCATGTAGTAAACATTCTGTATGTCACAGAAGAAATTGCTAGTCCAATGTCTATGAATTTAATTTTGGTAACATTTTTGAGTTTGTATTGACGTAACAAATAAATGTTTTGCCATATTTAAGTAATCTACTTATAATATCTTCTAATTTTTCAAACAGCCCACAAAACTACAAAACATTGCTGAAGCTAATTTAATCTAATCTCCATCTGCAATAGTAAAACAGTTACCATGCAATCCCACTCGATCTAGGATATCATATCTGTATGAATGGATTCAAGGAAGGTACCAGATCTTGGAATGAAAGAATTATGGCCAAGCTCCTTTCATTAGATTATTATATGGTCTCTGTGTTCTTTCGAAAAACGGTCATGATAAAAAATTATATAATATACCTACAGTGTGTTAGGTGTGTTAGAGATAATAGGATCATCCTATGGGTCACCTCTTTTATTTGACGAAATTTGAAAGGATGGTCAAATATAATTTTGTATGCGATATCACGATCTATGCGATGACTTTCGGTGAAACAGAAATCGATCAAACTTTTGCTTTCCAAATGTAATGCATATTTATGTTTTTTAATAAGATCTTTGAAAAGAGCAATCAATTTACTATACGACAACATAGAATATGTATATGAAATCTAGCATGCCGTGTGCTGTTAGGATGCGCGGTTATGATGCACAGAAAGATCGTATCGCGCAAAAGTAAATCTTCCAAATGAAACCTTCAGCAAGTTGATGCAGGTCTTTGCTGTGTAACATAACAGACAGCTCGTATTATAACAGCACACGGAATGCTAGATTTCATAGTTTCAAGTTTTCTAAATATTGAATCACGAATTTGACCATTTTTTGTATATCGACCATATGCATTTTTATGTTGTACAGCATATTAATTGCTCTTTTGAAAGATCTTAAAAAACATAAGCATTGCATTTGAAAAAAGTTACCTCCAATTCCGGTTAAACAGGAAGCGGTACCCGAAGTTTCAATATGCGGTGGGATAGATCATATGTGCAAATATGAAATTATATTTGACAAATTTTTCGTATCTCGACAAATGAAAGAGATATTGAGGTGACCCTCTCATATAGGATGTCGATTTATCTGTTTTTAGTCTATGTCAATCCGAGAAGATTATAATAATAAATATAAGGTAAATACCGTAGTAGTATAGAACAACTTCTGCAGGGGTACCTCTAAAAGGCATTACGCGGGTCACTCTGTAATTGGGCGAAAGCCTGTTGAGGGCCCAGAACAAGAGAGGGGCAATAAATAAATAAATTAGGTAGCGTTTTAAAGAGAGAATTTCCAAAAGGCTAAGTAACAGTTAAACATGAACGACTCGTACTTTTTATGCAAATTACATACCTACACTAATGTCCTCAATGTGAAATATTTATAACAAATTCAGGGTGGGGCACAGAGAAACAAATTTAAATCATCATCATATATGTTCCTCTCGATCGTCATATTTTGGGTGACACCGGCACGGCGATCACACACCTCGTTCCCCAGTTATTAAAGGTGGATGCTGTAAAACTGTAACTTTATATGCAGGGTCTCCCAAATGTCCAGGGAAAAAAAGCTGAAAATTTTGGGATCAACACGGGCAATAAAAACTTCATTTTGGATGGTTTGAAACTTTGAATCTAAAATGTAGTTGTTATGACTTCTTATCCATCCCGAGATTTTCGGATTTTTTTCTTCACTCGTTTGAAACTTATACCCCCGTCCCGGGACTTTTGAGTAATCCTATATAATGCGTGAGACAATGACGAGTGTAGGAGAAGACGAGGCAGAAGAGTATATATCTAAAGGAAAATGTGTTGGGTAAGCTGATTATGATGATTCTTTCCTACGCACCTAAACTTCTATCTACGGGACGGGTTAACTAACAAAATTTTAATTTTACAGATAGATAATATGGCAGTACATACTTCGTTAGGGTGGGCGTATTTAAATCATATCTTAGCCTAGCCAACCAAAATTAATGCTTGCTTCATTTCTCTTTGAAGTCTTTTTATGGAAAATTGCGCGTATATATGTCACAATGCCCACCTGTCCCTCCTTTATTCTAAGCAGACACTATATCTCGTACGAAGCTCTGAAAAGTTTCGCAAAAATAAGTCAATCGTAGCATAGGAAATCATAGTCTCCCATTGATTACAAAAAAAATTACGTTAATATACAATTACTAAAACCTTCTCTTACATTTCATCTTCTTTTTAATTTCAGGAGTGCTATGCTTGTGTCTACAACAAGGAAATGGCTTAAAAGGTACACAACTAATTTTTGGAAAATCATCAACAACCACAAGCACGACAGAAACACCACTCGATGGAGAAGCAGTAGGAGATGAGGTAATACTACAAAATATTTGAATAGGAATTTTTGTACACGTTAAAATTCAAAAATTATCAGTGAACCATATATTTTTGCCTATTGGACATACCTATTAGAAAATATTAAATTTATATCAAAATTGGTTTAAATTAATTCTCCACTTTCTCAGTTACACGTATAACTGTATCAAAGGTTTTTATTTTTTTGATGTTATTAATTGATGATTCCCAAGTTTGCAACACTGAAAAACTTTACAATTGCGGTGACATTTGTGAGAATTATCAACTGCGTCTCCATAGACCAATTAAATCTTGAGATTAGTGGACCACTAACACCGGTGTGGAACAAGCATATTATATAGCGGGACTGTTTGGTAAGGGGATGTTGAGTTTTTACATGATTAAGGGCAACTGGCTGTTTTGTTTTCGCCGATGTAAGATAACCTATAAGGGAATAATTGATTATTTTTACATTTTAATCAAGTAATTTTAAGTTAGTTGTAATATTATTGGGGAGATTAAGTATAATTAGAAACCAATTATTAACCGGAGTAACAAAAAAATTATGTTGTTAGAAAAAAATGAAAAAAGCTCATATTTTAGCAGTATTTCAGCAAGAGTGCCTGTTTGAAACTCTCCTAGACCCAGTTTGCTTATTTGTACTTACTGTAAGTTGTATTAGAGATGCTTGCCACAACGCACATAACGATGACAACGTGAAATTATTATCTATAAATTGAAAACGAATAGGTACATGCTATGTCGTCACGCTTGTGCAACATTTAACTGCATTTGGTACTTTCATGGGTCATAAATACCCATCAAAGTATGAAATTGTCTTGAAATGTTGTATTATACATTTTACATAAATATACCTACACCGGCATAAACTTTACTTTTCATGTGTTGCAAGCTAAAGATGATGTTGTGTCATAGTGTAATAAAAACTATCACTATAATAATAGAACAGAGGGAAAACGGATGTCAGCAGAACTTTCATCAAATAAATATTCGCCTCGAAACACTCATGTAACCTTTTAGTTTACCTTATATACAGGGTGCCCATTATATAGTATATATTTCGGTAAATAACGATTGTATGACATGTTTCTATATAAAAATTGTTTAACATTTCATTTCCCATAATAAGGCATCATTTAGTTGTTATTTCAGAAAACAAATGAGTAACGAAAAACAATTGAATTTCTTTAAGTAGTAATGTATTCTTTTATTAGGCTCATTTGATAGTTTTTTTTTCTTCGCGGTGAGGTAACACGTTAGTACCCTTATACATGAAATTAAAAAAAATTAAAAACTCTATTAAGTAATTACACCAATAACATTAATATAGATATCCTACATCAAAATAAATCAAATGAAGGTTTGCGCCATTCACTTAAAGGTAGTGGCCTAACCTAACCTATTACGAAAAGCTTGAAATGAATGCCTGTGTATTCTGGGCGAAATTGCTGCAGCAATTATTCTAATTTTTTGTCTTCGTGGTTTAATAAGAAACGTACACGTTCATTTGTTTTATTTTGTCGTAAGTTATCTATAGATTAATGTTATTGATGTAATCAATGTTTAAATTTTTTTTGAAAAATGTTCTTGCACTAACATGTTACGTCATCGAAAAGAGAAAAACATCACTATCAAATGAAAAATTTAGCGTAGAAAATCTACACGCTCCCAGACTGTCGCAAAAGCCTCGTCTTCTTGTTGTCTCCAGTATTTAAGGAAACGCAACTTCCTTCATAAAAGCTACTCCTTCATGAATTTTCGAATAAATCGCCAATTACAATTAGAGGAGATAAACTCCAGCCACAACGGAACGCGGAAAAGGTTCTCCACTTCTCCACATAAACGCGCATTTTAACACCTGCATTCTCTTATTCTTTACTTTCTTACTTCTTTACCCAACGGCCAAAAAAAACCTTTTTATAAAACCTGCAGATTTGACCAGAATGTGTCTCACTTACACCATATCTAAATTGAACAATTAAAACGTGATAAAATTTAAACAAGAATTAAGCATTTACAAACAGTTCTAAAAAGAAAAAAAACTATTATTTTTGGGATAATAATTTTATCTTGGCGCATAATAAATCTAAGTTTGTATTTATTAACTAGAAGTTCATTTTGGAAATATTAATACATACCCATTTAGGAATTTTCTTAGAAACCTCGTTTTCGAAAAGAAATCTTATTTCTGCATATTTTGTTACAAACGGTCTTTTTGGGAAAATCTTTCGAAACCTTTTTTAAGAACACATATATCGAAACCTTCCTACACTTTTGTTAGCAATCTATATAGACCTCGCCGCCAAGATATTTATCCCACAAACGTTTTAAGATTACTTTCAAAAATAAACTGTCTGTGTATATACGGTATGGCATTCTACTCAAGGGTTGTTAAGTGTGCATTTTCCTTTTACCACAAATTTTCATAAAATTAGAGCTAAAATACTCATAAATTTGACGTGACCAGCGACCGCCTTTAAGACGTTTACACAAAGACTATAAATTTTAAAATTCATTCAAAAAAATAAAGCGTACCTATGTATATGAGTCCTATTTAAGGGTTGATACGTGTACATTTTCTAGTATCCCCGTAAATTTAACCAGAACATCTCTATACGTTTAACCAAGAAAAGCGACTACATTTGAAAATTATTTCCAAAAAAGTAAAGCATAGGTGTATATATGTTATGTGTCCCATTTAGGGGTTAATAAGTGTAGATTTTCCATTACTCACACTTTGTATAAATTACAGTTAAAACACCTCTAAATTTAACAGGATAGCCACCAATATGTTTACTTTATATAAACTATGACTCATTTTGTAATAACCATGTATGCAGCTCCTGTAAACTCATACTCCTGCATTAGGACCTGACCTGTCTCACCATAACAACAATAGTGGGATATGCTTGGGGTTTGTGTTCGCGGTTTGAGTTCAAGGTCCCGCCTTTGGCTAGGATTAACAGGGGTATAACATTTGCATACAAAGTAGGTTACGAGACATAACAGTATTCCAATAATATATTCAGTCATGAAAAAGTATCACATTTGGCATTTATGTAAAATAAGATAAGGCAAAATAAAAGATGATGACAATAGAAGATCAAATTCAATAAATATTTAACGCTCCCACATAAACTGCCAGACCCATCGTACCAATCGACAACATCATAACTGAATTTTAAGATCACTTTCTTGCGAACTGCTAAAATATAAAATAAATGTGAAAGTTCCATATAGTACGTACACGAAACCTAAAATATAACCGAAATTGTATCAACACCCTGTACATTATAATAAGTGACATTTATTAGATTACCAGAAGTACAGGAGGAAAAAATAAACATAGAAATAGATAATAAATAATTAAAATTAAAAGAAATCAATATTCCGTAATCTAACGGGGCGCAGTTCAGTTCTGTGGTGAGACACCCCAGACCTGTTCTGCCACTTTTATCTTAAATTAAAGCTGCCCACATCTGAGGAAAAATTTCGGGTAAAAATTTCCACGATGCCCTAAATTACCTAAATCCCTGTAGATACTAATACCTTTAACAAATAATGTAGTTTTATTTATAAACAGTGTAATCGGTCGTTTTTGCTTATGGAGAATATGGAAGTAATGATCCTTTTCCTTTGTCAAAGTACCTATTGGGTTAGCTGTAGTGCACTGCTTTTAACAAATGCAGCACAATGAGCATTGAAATCCTCTGCAAGGATCACAGATCCTGTGATTTAAGCAGCAGTCGTCTTATAACCTACCACAGAATTGTCACAATTTTGAGTTCTAAAGTACATACAAAGAAAAACAATGGACAGATTCAAGTCCACTATAACTAAACATATAAGTTTCATGGAAACGTCAGAAAAAACACTTTAAATAAACGGCACAAGGCTCAAACAAATCAGTAACACTGTTTTTTTTTCAAGTCAGTTTTATTGGCAGAGCCGTACTCCTTAATTGACTTTATACACCATTAATAAATAATCAGGGGAAGATCCTCATTTATTCACCACCTATGAGGTTAAAGTCCGACACGTAAAACAACTAAATAATGCATTTCGCCGTTTTATAATTAAATTGGTACCTACATAATAATTTTATTTATATAAATTGAAATTTGTTGGTCAATCCCACTTTGTTTTTTTACAAACTCATCCAAGAGACCATAGGTAGGTCTAATTGCAGAAAATACAATTAAAATATCGATATACGTTGTTACGTTCGCGCTCTTGGACGGACACACAGAGAGTGCGATTTCATAAAGAAGCTTTTCAGCCTAAAGACTTTCGCTGTTTAATAATGAATACTAATGTTCATTTGAGTTGAATGTTTTTTTATATAAAAATCTTGAGATATGTGCCCCCTCAATAATGTGTATATAAGATAAGACTTTGGTATCATAGACCTTTAACGTTAAGATTAACAATAAACCGCTGTTAATCGAGCAGCTTCCAGAAAAAGAACGAAGTAGTATTCAATTACAAATAACTATTAGATTTTTCCCTTTATTGGGTCATGGTATAGGGACGCCATAGATTTAATTGATACCGTGGCAAAGGCATTAAAGATTAAACACCTTTTAAAACATCAAAACGGCCTCGGAAACGGTACCTTACCTATTACCATTGTTTAAAACAATGCTATTACATGCTATTACCATAGTAACGGGCGATCGAAAATGAATTGCTGTCGAGTCGCCTTTGGAAGTTCAAGTTAAATAGGATTTCTGTAAGAAATTAGATTTGCTTTATGCAAAATCATCAGATCAAGTGAATGAAACGATCTCAAATGTATTTTTGTGAAATCTCCGAACCGTGTCTATTTAAAATTAAACTTGCATCTGTAAATGACCATTAAATTAACTAATTCGCATTATTTAACGATTATTTCTGTATCACGCTTTAAATTTCTAATGAAGGATACGATGACCTAATCGAACAGTAAATTGAAGGACGATTTTCAATCAAGTTGGGTTTAGTAACGGCATGTCACTTGCATTGTAATTAAAAATCAGCTTATTACCTATACAAAAATCTGGATTCCCTTCACATTTTATTATATTTAATTCTGTGTGGTGACGCTAATAAAGAAGATGAAGGTATTTATGCACACCTTCACTTTTATTTGTTTGAAACCGCCTACTTTCGTAACACTGGGATTTTTCTTCCGATAAATTGAAAATTTTCAAGGCCAATGTATGGTCGAGTTGGTACCTTCCATGTAAAGGATGTCTTAATGTATTTCAAGGATAAATTAAGGTAAAACGATGCTTTCACTACTTATATTATGCCAAAAAGGAAGTTTGTTTATATATTTCCTTTGTTTTTCAGGTAGCAGCGGAACTAGCACAAACTGCCGAGAATTCCACCAAATCAAATTTTACCGGAAATCCCCAAATCGACTACATTTTTGATCCGAATCTACCAAGAGAGTTAAATGGATACAACCTTTCCAACTACCCCTTTTACAATAGCATGCCTGAAGACATCGATTTCAAGTGCGATGGTCTGCATGATGGTTTCTATGCTAGTGTGCCACACAAATGCCAAGTATGTATTTCTATTAATTTACCTCCATCTATCATTTAAGTCAATGCCAAAAGGAATTACTCTTTGACCTTTTTCCCTAAAAAATGTATGACAAATTTATTAAGAGGGAGTCCTGAAACGGGCCAAAAACCCATTTCCTAAGAAAATGAAACTATGTATATGTTTAAAATGTTGGACAAACTTCATTTGCACAGTAAGGTTATTGGAAGTGTTGATCTGCATTTAGAACACAGAGGTAAATTCGTTCACCATAAGCAGACATTATTTTGATTCAATATACTGTGTTATACATGTCGAGAGTTTATAGCTGATCGCTGGTGAAAGGAAAATATGCAAATAAACGCAAAATATGCTGAATATTTTAATAGAATATGCAAAATGAATTGTATTAATCATTATAAATGTACCTACTGATACCTTTGAAATAGTACATTAATTAAACGTAAATTAAACATTGTTTAAAAACAGACGCGAGTTAGTTACAAATCTCATTAGCGAAGGCAAACATATCGCACATAGTAAAAATGAACACATGTGCACGACTAACACCCCTTTACCGCCTACCAGGATTATTTTTCTGTAGAGATTTGTTTTTCTACACCTTTCAAAGAAGCATTTTTTTTTTAAATTTCAGCGTCAAAACAAAAGAACTTGAAAATGGTTTTTTGATAATTAAAAAATAACTCAAATTAATTTTGATCTAATTCTAAAGTGTTAAAATGCCACATTTAATGGCCTGTATTTTATACATATTTGTGCAGTCTGAGAAAGGCGTAAATGAGTCTAAAAACAAGTACACACACGTACTAAAATTTCAAAAACTTGTGGGGGTATGACCCCCCTCTCCAGGGGGGGGGGATTCTATACTCCAGGGTCTGACGCGGAAGGGGGCCACAGAGATAAATAACATTCACAAGTAGGCCACCAGTAAAAAAAGGTTGAGAAACACTGGATTAATCGACCAAGAAATATCTAGAGTCAAGAATATACTACCTGCTGATCGATTTGCAATATATAGTTTTCATCGGTATAATTGTTGCGAACATTGTCGTTCAATATTTCGTATACATTGAATTTGAGGATTATTTAATAAAGTTTGTTTAAAGTTGACAGGAAAACTTTATTCATTCCACCCCATTTTGAGAAGAAAATTACACCGATGGATATTCTAGAATGAATTATTTGTTAGTAATATACGTAGTATGTTAATTGTTGTCAATACCCCAAGAGCTAGAAATTAACAATTGTCAAATACCACTTTTATGCGATTGTATCTTCAAAAAAGACTTCCAACCAACTTTTCAATTAATAAAAGGCTTTTTTTCTAAAATAAGATCATTTCCATCCAACATTAAATAGCTTCTAAACGCGTTTAGTTTTACAATAGGTATTTTGCAATAGGGATGCCACATGTTTACTGTGAAGATCATCAACGTGAACATTACGCAATATATTTACCTTGAGGTGAACATCATTCTTAGGAAATGTAAACAACTTGAAACCATTTATAGATATGCCTACTGTTTGACTTTTCAAAAAAAGTGAGGAAATCAATATTCATTCTTTATATAACTACATACCAGTAGCGACCATCAGCAATTTGCATACCGTTTTTTAACTTCTGTGTTTACTACTTAGGTAAATTGTTTATGTAATCCTACATTTGCGTTTCATTTTGCGTGCCAAATTTCGATTACTTGCAATTAATAATACTTTTCAATTTCAGGTGTATCACCACTGTTTGTTTGGAACGCGCTATGACTTTTTATGTGCCAATTACACAGCTTTCGATCAAAAAACCTTCATTTGTCATTTCGTGTCGGAGGTAGATTGCAACAATTCGCACAAATATTGGCATCGGTAAGTACTACCAAAATTTAAGGCTGAATCGTTATTTTATTGTTGGTGATATAGGAATGATGCGTTATACCAAGCCGCCACCACAACGACGACGACAGTTAAACCCACGCCTATTTCCATTTCGCCTGCATTGACGGCGTCACCTCGAAGGCCACCACCGGTGAGAAGAAGGCGACCCTCAAGGCGACGTCCTCAATACGATTACGACGATGATTACGAAGAAGAAGAAAGAGACGATTATTATGAAGAGCCGCCTCGTAGAAGAAGAAAAAGGCCGAGGCCACGTCCCCGCCCTGTCTACGACGAGTACGATGATGAGTATGATGATGACCGTCAAGAGAGAAGAGGATCTGGTAGACGTAACGATGAGAGAAGAGAGTCGGAACGAAGAAGAGAGTACGACGATCGTCGACGTTACAAAGATGAAAGAAGGCGAGATTACGATGATCGGTCGCGTTATGACAAAGACGACGATTCAGATTATCGATATGATCGTGACAGAAAAAGAGAAGATGATCGTAAACGTAGACCTCTCGATGGTGAAGATAGCCCTAGGTACGAAAGTAGAAGACCAATGGAGGACCGTTATATCCGACACAAAGGCAATCGTAGACCATATGATGATGAATCTCATGAAGAAGACCGTCGAAGCGTTGACCGTCCCAGAAATTCGCCTCCACAAGAAAATGTTCAGCCACTAGTGAAGCCGAACAGCAGTAGTTCTATATATAATCAACCCCGAATGGCACCTAGAATACGTCCCCCTGTTCCTAAAAATGAGCAAAGTAAGTTTGCATATAAACCTACAGCCGAAGCAGCTTCGACAAATGCGCCGCCTAAAGAAGAAAAATACGATGATTATGACTATGACTTACCACCTCAACGGCCGACACCAAAACACAAGGGAGAGACGGAGCGTCAAGCAGATCGTGAGCGTGACACACGCAGAGGGTCCCGACCGTCGCCTAATAAAAAAATTCAATATGATTTTAGCGATTACGAGGATGATCGAAGTAAGCCCGTGCGACCACAGATGAAGCCAAAGCAAGAGATACTTTCCCGAGAAAAACACAACCGCAACCGCCCAACCACCGACAGCTATGAAGATTCCGACCAAGACCACACTTCTAGAAGTAAGGAACGAAATGTCAGTTCAAAGGAGTCGAAGCATAAGAACGAAGATGTTCCCCCTACAACTGCGAAAGAATCGCCTCGTGACTACCAAGAGACTGTCAGAGTAGTTAAGAGGCCGTTTCTACCTAGTCGCGGAGGAAGTCCATTTTCGACACGTGGATTACAACCAATCGGTGCTAAAGCACTTGATATAACCAGGCACGAGGCAGCATCCACCACTGAAGAAGGACCAGGGAAGGATTATACGGTACAAAATGGTAGACAGTTTCCAGAAACGGGTCCGTCACAATCCGAAGTAAAAGAATTGCCGACAGAAGAAGAAAAGTCAGAAGAAGAAATTAAACCACCTCCTACTGTAGCCAAAGTAGCGAACCGTTTAAAATACCAAAACCCAGATGAAACGGAGAGCAAAGAAGAGCTCGCGTCCCTTCCAAACCGTCCACAGGTGCAGGTGCGCTTCAACGGCAAGCCAAAGGAATTCAGTACTCCTCCAAGAAAAAATCCATTAGATATCAACGAAAGTGAATACGATGTAACGCTAAACGACGCTTTAAACCCCACATTACCTAATTTACCAATACGTAATTATCCCACAGGTTTCAGTGCGCAGAACGATTATTACAACGACAACTACAACAGACCGAGGTACGACAATTACAACCGTTCGCCCGAAGGCCGATTTCAAGTTAGAGCGCCTAGTCAAAAAATTGAAAGTATTGCCGACCCTTACATTGGTAATCAGCCGAGGAAATATGTAGCGAATGTAGCGATACCACCAGATCCTCTTTATCAAAATTATAGGCAAAATTCGCAACTAACTCAGGCTCACGCGCATGGATATTTTCCAGTCTACTAGACAAAATTTGAGTGATCTCTAAATTAGTTAAGTAAAATTACTTCGCTCGCCCAAATGGCTGTAAGTGGTAGACATTTTCGAGAACGTGGTGATAATGTGTATACGTGCTATTTATACAACGAACGGCGAAAAAGACTGTAGGGGCTTTAAGATAAATTTTTTGTAGTTCGCTAAGTAATTTATTTGTTAATGATCTACGATTTTTTACACTCATGTTTCTAAACTGTATACTGCTGATGCTATTGTTATGTCGTTCTTAAAATTGTTACACGTTGCCTTGTGAGCGGAATGTGTGTTTAGAATTTGTAAAATATCCACCCTTTAAAAATAAATAAATTCAAAATTTTCTATTTTTTTAAGAGAGTATCAACACATACCTAGTCAAAGAGTAACTAATAATTTTGATGAAAGCATAGCAATGGATTGCCAACTTAAAGTTACAATTTGGGAAACGAAACGATAGTATATATTTGGAATATTTTCTGAGGTATTTGAGTCAAAGATCCTTTAATTTTTTAATAGGAACCCTTTTTATGTTCACTAATAAACTTCACTGGAAAATTAAAGCATGTGTTTAGTGAAATTGTTCTAAGATTTTAATTTGGAATTTGGAAAAACGACCAAAACAATCGCTAAGTTATTCTTTACACATTTTCGGTGCTAAATAATAAATAAAACGTTCTCTTGCAATTTTTTTAACGATCCCTGTGTTTTTTTTGGTTTGACTAGACTTAGACTACAAACAAGATACGAATTTACCAATTTGGTGGGGAACCTACACATGCATTGTATCTTGGCGCTAATAAGTATCCGTTTTGTGATTAAAATATACTTATACAGGACGACATTAAAAAAAATTCAAGTGGGCCATCTGTTTTACGTTTCGGCGGCATGGAGATTGCCAGTGACAACGTACATTACATACAAGTTTTTTGGTACGTCCAACACCTGACCTCTACCACCTCCATTCAGAAATTTGAAATTTAATCCTGCCATACTTGCGACGGAACATGTCCCAAAAAATGTTTACAGTGACACCATAAGCGAAGTTTTGGAGTACAACAATGCAGGAATGGGTTCATTATTTGGTCAAAATACGCGTAGTCACCAAGAAGGCATTGGAGATTTATGAAAGGCGCTCGAATAACGACCGTCACTTAAAGTTGCACTTTTTTGCTATATTTATAATTTATATATTTGAATTTAATAATACATTTGCCACCTCGGATCATTTCATATTCGCAAATTTAAATATTAAGAAGTTCAGCCAGTGAACGTGACGCAAGACGTATACATTCGTAGGCTCGTGAATGACGTACTGCGCATTATGTTGTTCAAAATTGAACAGAAATTGTGCATTTTCTAACTTAATTGTTTTCAGGCTATTTTGCGATGTTGGAATACGTTGCATTTGTGTTTAATGTTACACTAAGAACCTTCGAGCAATGCAAAATTCTTGTAGGTATTCGAAAGTACATTTATTTATAGATATATATTGTTTGGAAAAGAAGACCTGTAACCGTTAGGGCTGAAGTGGAACGTTTTTTTACAAATGCGTAATCCCTGTAAGAATCTACACCCTCAATACGAAGATTAAAAAATGAAATTTTGAGGTTCTTATATGTGACTTTTTGGAAACGGAATATCAGCCTATATGACTAAGCGGCCCAAATGAATCACTCACATAACGCTAGACTAAAATTTTCCTCTGATTTAGACTTACCTTTAGCAACGGAGGCCTTTTAGTCCTCACTTATTTATTAAGTACACGACCCGCACGATTATTTTTTTCACTATACACTATTTTACACTACAGAAATCGACGTAAAAAACGTCTTAAACGCGATCGAACCGACGCGGCAAAACAGAATGACTGCCCGTTCAGGTAAATTTCTGGTTTTAACCATTGAATTAGCATAGGTGAATCAGGCCACTAACTCTTATCGCTTCTCTTACCTTCGAGCACACTCCTTATCAATCCACATATTTTTAAAACAAACGCATAGAATTTTGATTATTTTTGTACAGACGCATTTTTGAAAAGTTATATTGATTTTTAACTCCATCCATTTGATCTACTAATTCAAACTAAACGCAAAACATTTGCATCGTCACTATTTAGTATGTACAGGCAATAAGGGTAGAACAAATTAGAGACAAGCTAATTATTTTTAGCTATCGGCTGCACTTTTCCGTCCGTCGCTCTGTCACACGTACTACTTTTGCACAAGTGATCGGATTCGGGTGATATGGGGTTGATTTTGAAAGGGCTTGGGCCAAGGATTCCGCGCGTACGATATTTTTTGTTTTTTGCATGCGCATTGTCAAAAATTGGGTTTAGCGCATGTGCATTTGTGCAATGCTAACTTTTTTTATTTATGAAGGTATTTAAATGCAATTTTATATGTAAACACTACACTACAAATACAAGTAAAACTAGCAACGTTTTCCAAATATTGTCGTACGCATGCGCAGTGCCAACTTTTTTATTTAAAAGCATTTAAATGAAATTTGATTCCTAGGCATTTGGAATAAAAGCAAATATAATGCAAGTTTCAAAATTTGGTTTTGCGCAGGCGCATTTACCAAAGCATTTAAATTAGAGACATTTCCTTATATTTGTATACGCTATTAGGAGGAAAATACACTCTAGTCATTTATGTTTACATAATGACTTTTTAACTTGTTTTAATGTTTAGACCAATAACTTATTTACATATTTATGTATTTACCAAAGAGTTAGTAGGTACGTTATAGATGTTGTCTGTGGTTATAGTTATGTCTCACTAACATAATATCATAGCACATTTCATGTGTGATACGCGGGCATAAAGTACCACTTTATGGCCGCCCCACTTTAAGTGGCACTTTATGCCCTAGAGCATTAAGTATCACCATAGTAACTTATTTATACTAGATGGCAAAAGCCATCACACAACTTTCACACAATTGCTGAAGCTTTGCACCATTTATTTGGAGATCGGTGGACAGCAACTAATGGGCCAGTTCGATGGCTACCTCGTGAACCCATCTGAATTTCTTTCTTTGGAGCTGTGTAAAAAAGAACTTTATAACCGCAATGCAACGTCATAAATTTAGAAAATAATATTAGTCGAACAATTAATTCAATTGGCTCTCAAATGGTAGCCAAATCTTCCAATTCAGTGTTAAAAATATCATTTTCTAAGGAGATTGCATCCATGCTTGATTTCAAAAAATAAACTGAAAGGCTGCTTTCAAAGAGCATGAGCCCAAAAACTCCATTAGTGGAAGTTTGATAGAGATAGACCATAAAACTGGATGCACTTGGAACTTATACGTAAAGTATACACCTCTTATTATTTTACATGTTAAAATCGTTTCAAGAAATAATATTTATACATAAAACCACATAGGTACCTAAACTTAAACAAAAACTTTGGAATTTCTTTTGATTGTATTTTAAACTTCGCAAGAACCAGTTCTAAATATTCCGGTTATGGCTTTTCTGTTTTGTGTTGCTACTTTTACCGAGGGTACCTACTCTTTTTTGACTTCTAAGTAAATACATTGCATTTTAAGCGTGTATTGTGCGTTGCCTAAAACATCGTAACCTTAGGAATGCGTTTGGCAACAGCGCTGCGCCATCTACTTCTGTTTTTGTATTAACTGGTGCAGCAGAAATGGTGGATGTAGGTTAAACAAAAACAAATATTTTTATGCTCTGCTTTAACGTAAAGAATAAATGGATTTTGCTAGACGACAACTTGAGAAATATGGGTGGAAAGAAGGTATTGACAAAGTTTGGGTTAACTTTTGATAAACAATTTTTTTGTGCTAGGAAATGGTTTAGGTAAACACTCCATTGGTATCAAAACTGCCTTAAAGCCAGCTTTAAAGTTTGACAATGCAGGGGTTGGATTTAACGCCTCTGAAGGGTATACCAATAATTGGTGGGAAAAACTGTATAATGAGACTGCCAGTAACATTAATGTAATATATCCGATACCCAGCCATGTCTATCTTGAGATGTTAAATGTTACGTTTTAGGTAACCAATAGTGACAACAATGGAAACACTCAAATCTCTACAAAGAAAAGTACGCCTACACATACCTTAACTAGTTCAGAATACAAGTCTTTCATAAAAACATCCAAGTTGACTGAGAATGGAATTGTCAATTTTGCGGACACATCTACTGAGGCAGCTCCTGTCAGTTCGACACCTTGCTTAAAAGATGAAGATTTATTTGCTGCTTGCGGGGGACGTACTGCTCATAAGTAAGCTTATCAATATACTTTAATTTGTTTTTAGAACAGTCTTCATTTTAGAGGGGCTCGGCATGGCTGCAAGTTGAGTGGGAAATTATCACGTTTAGAAATGCAAGAAAAGATATTGCTGAAGAAATTAAACAATGTTAGTATATCAGACAATAACGACAACTGTAATAAGAAAGTAATCGAGAAAAAACTCAAAAAGATCGAATACCACAAAAATAAAAACAGATTGGAGGATGCAATGGAAATAGCGCCCCCAACCAGTCCATGCATATTCATCGGCAACAGCCCATACAAAGGCAATAAGAAACGCAAAGGTGAACGTAAGAACGTTTCCTTTAGCGACACTGTTGTCGAATTTCACACCCAAGAATCGAACGAACCTGAAACCTCCAAACAGAAACCCACAGATGAAGCCATGTCACGTCCACCATCACCCATTGTCACTATCCGCCAATTGAAATTGGGAAACACAAAGGATTCATCGCCTCTTAGAGCAGATAACGAATTAGATGAAGGTATTGACTGCAACGACTACAGCTCTTCGAAATGTGAAAGTAAATGCGATCTACAAGAAAAAATCCGCAGAGACAACAGACGCATGAAGCGCAAATTGAAGAAACTGCGAAAATTAAATAACCCCGTCGTTTTTAATGTCTCTCTCGACTTGGACAATGGAAACCATCATGTATCAGAGAAAAGTGAATTGGTCAAGCGTAAATTATTCGACTCTTCCGACATGTACATATATAAAAAGGCAAAACGATCGAACTTAGATGGTTGCCAGAAACTTACTACGGAATTAGAGTTACCATGTAAGCAACAGAGTGAAGTAGAAGACAATATTGACACTGTCACAAATTCTTTTGATAATGTCTGTAAAATTTAGTGGGATATGGGGAAATGTGTGTTATTACTTTCTATTTCTTTCCTTTTTATATTTACGTTAAAACAAGTACTGAGTGTCTTCTGTAGTTGCTTTTGTATTGCAAGTATAATACTATTTACGTTAGTTGTGGTAGAATTGTTATTACGTGTATTTTAGGGTTAGAGATACTGTTATAAAATATTTTCGTGGATTCTTTTGTTTTTGTTTCTAGCATTTTGTGCTGGTTTTGCATTTTTCACAAGTCAACTTTTCGTGATTCTTAGGGATCACGCGTGAATTTAAATCAAAGTATGGGAAAAAGGCGCCCAAGGTCCTAAGAGTCCAAAAAAGTGGTTTTTAGAAAATGTCTGTGTGTACCTGTGTGCGGCATGATTCTTAACTAATTATAATTAAATAAGCAAGCAAAAAAATTTTTTTCACTACTAGCGTCTGATGGCATGATTATTAACCCTTTTTCCACTTGTAAAGTAGGCTTTCTCGGCATTTGTTCAAAGTGGTTAATAATGTGGACATTATTAACTAGTAGTCAATAATGAGAACTGTCACGCTGTCACTTTTAGAAAACACAACCCGAAATTTCGCTCAATAAACGTTTAGACAAGTTCTCTAAAATGAATAATTGCCACCATCCGCCATTTCCAGAGAAATTACATACCTAAAATTATCACATTTTGAAAAAATTCGAACGAAATTACTCTTTGAAAATATCTCAATGACAGAACAAAATACGGCCTGTTTGACTTGTACTTCCACGTACTTGATTGACATGTTAAATTAATAAACAAAAAATTCTGTCCAACCGTTCACTTTCTTATCAATATAATATGTTAATTTAGAGGACTTCAAGTGCTAGTAGTGAAAAAAATAGTATATATACCACGGTAGAGAAGTCTATTATTGCCTTCGCACCTTACACCCCTCGGCGCAAGCGCCTCGAGATGTAATCTTGGTGCTCAGGCAATAATACTGTACTTCTCTACCTTGATATATAATGTACTATTAT